ACTGATTACACATATACACAGATTAACATTGTAAAGCTACTGAGTACACATATACATAGATTAGCATTGTAAAGCAGGCAACTGATTACACATATACACAGATTAACATTGTAAAGCTACTGATCACACATATACACAGATCAATATTTTAAAGCAAACAACTGATTACACATATACATTAAATAACATTGTTAAACAAATTACTGATTACACATATACACATATTAACATTGTAAAACTACTGAGTACACATATACATAGATTAGCATTGTAAAGCAGGCAACTGATTACACATATACACAGATTAGCATTGTACAGCAAGCAACTGTTTACACATATACACAGATTAACATTGTAAAGCAAACAACTGATTACACATATACATAGATTATCATTGTAAAGCAAACAAATGATTACACATATACACAGATTAACATTGTAAAGCTACTGATCACACATATACACAGATCAATATTGTAAAGCAAACAACTGATTACACATATACATTAAATAACATTGTTAAACAAATAACTGATTACACATATACACAGATTAACATTGTAAAGCAAGCTACTGATTACACATATACATAGATTAACATTGTAAAGCAAACAACTGATTACACATATACATAGATTAGCGTTGTAAAGCAAACAACTGATTACACATATACACAGATTAACATTGTAAAGCAAGCTACTGATTACACATATACATAAATTAACATTGTAAAGCAAACAACTGATTACACATATACACAGATTAGCATTGTAAAGTAAGCAACGGATTACACAGATTAACATTGTAAAGCAAGCTGCTGATTACACATATACATAGATAAGCATTGTTAAGCAAACAACTGATTATAAATATAAAGCAACTGATTACACATATACATAGATAAGCATTGTAAAGCAAACAACTGATTACACATATACACAGATTAACATTGTAAAGTAGGCTGATTGCACATATACACAGGTTAGCTTTGTAAAGCTAGCAACTCATTGCACAAATCCCAATATATTATTGCATATTTTTTACAGGGGCGACTTTGAGGTCCTTAAAAATATGTGTATGACACAAAACCAAGACTGGTTTTCCTGATTCTGATTTTAAGGATATATTAGTCAAAGTTAGGTATCCAAACTAACCGTAATAGGTAATATTATTTTTCAGTTAATGTCAGTCTCTTTTATGTCGAAACAGTTTCATTCATCAGGATTATTTCTAAACATTCAACACATAT